TTTTGCTGACGTTTATAAATAAAATAAAGTTATGTTTTAATTCATACTCAAGAGTGTTAGTAATATTGCTTAGTCCATAGACTATTGTCAACGAAAGAAGAGTCAGGGAATCCCTGCCGGACAAGCTCTTCTGATATAGTTTAAAATACATATTCGCAGTCTTAGGATCGATTGGGCAATCGAATTCGATTATGATTGTTAGATCGAACCATATGATGCTGGTCTCGGGGCATGAGAGTTGGACTTTGTGGTTGATCTAGACATGTTCACAACATGTTGAATAGACCATGTAACTAATTAGGTTAGAGCAAAAACCGTTTACAGAGCTCTAAACCTAATTATTACAACTTAAGTATATTTGTATAATTATCTCAATCCTGAAGTGAATACATAGCTCGACTTAATTTCTCATGGTCTTTGATTCACCAATGAGATTAGTTCATAGTTTTTGAACAACATCTCGGCTATTGGGATCATGACATAATTAAGTTGGAGTTGTGTGATTCACAGATATGGAATTCGTAAGCGATAATGTCACCTCATGCTTTATTGATGGGTGTGTGAATAAATAAACCAGGCCTGGTATTCAATGATGGTATTCATTGATTAAGACATCGTGACATGTGCGAGACTGTAATGACCGGGAAAAATTTAGGTTTAATCCGGACAGTCCGGTATTTGACCGAAATTCTTTCCGGAATAGTAAGTAGTAGAATTTTGATGTAATTAAAAAAATATTAGGTAGAAACTTTATGTACGTGGTAAAATTTTCTGAAATATGTAAAGTTATAATACAAATATTCTTACAAAGGAAATTCGTAAATATCAGTTATGAGTAGTGAAATTATTAGTACTAGAAAGAGACTCGTTTTGAGAAACGGAAAGTTAGGTCTCGACAAGAAAAAAAATTTGAGGAGTATAGAACCCACTCATTTGCTAGCACGTATCTTTATATATATATATATATATATATTATTTCTAAGTACGTTTCTTAAAAAAATTAGATTATCTAAATATATATATATATACTCTCACGGTAATAGTGAGATAAGTAAAAAAAAAAAAAAAAAGGGGAAAAGTAATGACTAATGGGGGGAATGGGGGACATGGGTTGAACATCCAA